AAATGACCATGAACTTTACTGAACTTACCATGAACTTTTCACTTTGTTTTCCTTCACACAGCTGTCTTCAAAAACAACTGGATAGCTGCCAATGAATGCTGCACATGTTCCGCAAAGGTTGCAGTATGTGGATTCTCCGTTTTCCGTAACGTAGCTACGAATTATGAATTACGAATTACGAAAATTCGGGTTCTAGAATAAGGGTGTCAATTATACCTTTACTATTTATGTACATGAATATCAATTAGAACTGTTCGAGTTTAGAAACTGCATAATATTTGAAATTAGTTTAGTTGTGGCTCTAATATGGCTATCCCATCGGTTTATTAGTCTACGTTTCTGGAATTCTGTTACGCTTTAACGTTAGTGTGATTTTCGTCTTAAGTTGATTTTGTACAGACGCAGTTCCGTTTGCCAAGTGCGTATACAATTTTCAATGTGATTAAATTTATTTGAAAAACGCATTAAAGTTCCTGCCCTAGTCATACCTTCTGTAAAACTTTTGGTTTAACTTCATTTCAAAAAAGTTATCAATTCTATGCTACAAAAATTAATTGTATAATTTAAGAGTGTGTACAAGCATTTCATGTCGATTGATTAATATTCAACTATACGTTTTCGCCTCTGGCTAATTGTCGCTTAAAAAATTATTAACAAATTTGTCCTTAACAAATAATTTGGTGCATAAATCACCATTCAAAATTAATCAAGTGCCAACAACAGCAAATTTTATGCAGCTTATGTCGCTTGGAACTCCATTTTTAATTTAATGTTTTACGTGTTGGCCGCATTGAAACGTGTGCGCAGCGGCACAAAGTTTTAAGCACTAGAACCGCCCACCGGTCAAAAACGATATACATACATACAAATGCAACATACAAATATATAGTACATATAAATGTATGATGTGTGAGCAGCAACTGTTTGGCCGCACGCCAAGATAGCTATCGGTTATATATGGCGCTTTAAGTAGCGGGTGTGTATACCAATCAGCGAACCTACTTCTGTTACCACTGGAGTCTCATCGTACATACATATGTATGTATATATGTATGTGTAAAAGCTTATGAATTTACATATATTCAGTTTCTAAGCGAGCATTCAAAACGCTTAGCTCCACCTTTTATACAAAAAATTATGCATAAGAATATATTTCGTTCTTTTTGCTTGCATATGCATAAGAGCTTAATTGAAATTTTCTTTTTTTTACAGATTACCATCCAGTTAACAGTTATCCCGGCTATCCGATGAACC